TCAAAAAAACAAAAATAGAAATTTTTACAGTGATACATGCATTTCCATGTTCACAGTGGCACAATTCATAATAGTTAGCTTTAAAAAAACAGCCTATGTCCATCAACAGATGAATGGATAAAAAAGTCTCATCTTCCTGAAAAGCACTGTGGTGGGCAGGACATCACCTGTGATATATTCTATAAATCTGACTAGGTATTCACCAAGTAAGCAATGCCAGGTAAAACTCAAGCCCATACTTCCCCTGCAATACAGAGTGGCCATTTTTTAACTCACAGTAGACACACACACATGGTATGATCAAAAAACATAGGGAATAATTAAAAAAGAATTATACCATAAAAGACATTGCCACTATCCTCCCCCCAAATATTCCCCTTTGCTTCAAACACACGTATCCCATCATCCTGCCACTTTCTGAAACAGTTCTGGAAGTCCTCTCTCATGAGTTTCTTTTCACAGCTCTAGGGATATCCTGAATCAATTCAAAACATTTATGGCAGTTTCTGTCAAATAAAAACATTATGGTACGTTCTCATCCACCTTATTCACTAGCTCCGGTACCAAGTGACTCCTGGCTCTTCTATAAAGTCAGAATGACATTGCAAGGTAAATGTTTTGATTTATTCAAGACATCAAGGCAGCCAACGAAAAATACAAGAGTCAAGGGGAAATTAAAATTTTAAATAAAAGCTGGCCAAGAATGCCTGCTGAGACCAAGGGCACTTGCCCTGACAAGCCTGATAACAGAACACTTCTTCCTTTGTGTAACCCCTGTCTTTATTGTCTTTGTGTATATTATGATGGCCTTGCAATGTAACTTGAGACGTTTTAACTCCCATGGCAACCCATGATGTCACTCGACCCTCCAATCACAATCCACTAAATCTGCTAGTGTACCTCCCATTTGCTCTCCCCTTAAAAGCCCTGAAACTCCATTGGGCAGGGCTCCGACTCTTTGGGAGCAATCCCAAGTCAGGCCCACCAGTGTAATAAAATTGCTGTCCCCTAGACCTCCTCGGTGCTGTCTTCCTGCATTGAGTCCATTTTGCCATAACAAAAGAATTTCCAGAAATGCTTCAGAAAGTGGCAAGAAAGGTGGGACAAGTGTGTTCAAAGAGAGGTGGAGTATTTTGAAGAAATTAATAACAATGTTTCTTCTACTGTAATAATTTTATTAAAATTTAAAGACTGATCACACCTCATCCAGCAAAGCACTCCAGGTTTGTACTCTGGCTTCTATACCACAGGGCTAGTGACAGCGACGTCAGCACTGTAACCTTCCCTCACTAGGCCTCCACTTTTATCATATGTGAAAATGGGTATGTTAGCAGTACTCAGTCCTTACAGCTGTAAAGATTAAGGAAGACAGCCCACACAGTGTATTGGCACACAGTCTGAATGTGGTGAGGGATGAGACCTCCAGCTACCACTGATGCCACCACCACTACTCTACTGTCACCCGCTGAAGGGGCAGACAGAGTGCTAGAAAATGGAAACAGAGCAAGAGTTAGAGAGAACAGGTTCTAGTTAATACAAGATCCATTAAAGTACATAACCCATGTGGACAAAAAACATGAAGAGCCAATTTTCAGGCCCAAAGACGTCTACCTAGCAAAACATACTGCCTAAAAAAATCAACCTAGCTAGTAACTGCAAGTTAAAACAGCGACTCAACACTATCTGCCTTTCAAATTGGCAGTTTTTGTAATTATAATGACCAATATTGGTCAAAGTGCAGTAAAATAGGCACCGTAATGTTTTTACAAAGTTACCCAGCACCAGAAGCCAGTAAATGTTCACTATAATGTACTCAACTGTTGAAATTTATATGTGCATTTATTTCCATCAACAGTACACAATGTACAAGCCAAGTGACTACTTCTAGAAGTGCCCTATTTCCACAAAGTGAGTCAGTATTAATATCCATACAGGTTGGAGGTTCGTGGAAAGAAGAACTCTTCATAGAAACAAGCTAATTAATGCCCACCTTGTCCTCATTCCTACCTATCTGCACTTTCACACTGAGGAAAAAAGCAAGATGGAGCTAAAGGAAAACTAGAAACCTCATCCATGTGCAGCTCACACTAGTTCACCCACAACAAAGGCAGGTGCTTCCAGACAATGGAGCCTGCGTCAGCAGCTTCTCCCAGGGGGTTTCCAAAAAGGAGTCTAAATGGCTTACAATCCATTGGGCATCTCCATCTTTAGTGTATTAGAGTAGGTAAGAGCCTTTGTAAGCAACAGAGAGACAGGAATAAAGGTAGGAAATTCAAATTCTTATTCTTCTCATTAATTCTCTCACTTGGCTCTTCAGACTTTTTTGTCTCTAGGCAAAAAGGAGTCAAGTCTCAGAAATGTAATGGGTTAGCTCAAATTACTGAATATTCCTTACCATCTGAGCACACATCTACAGCACCAGGCATGCAATGAATTTGGTGGCCTCAGTCAGAGGCCTCTTCTTCTAGTGTGGGAGTCTATGCTACAGTATGCCTGTACCCAACAGCCTGCAATTTCCTAAACCTTCACCATCAAACAGATAACCCTCTAAGCACAAGGGAATTTGTCCATGAAACGCAAAGGAGTCCTGCTTGTCTCCTGGGTCACAAATAAGTCAAACACTACATAGGCTCAGCCCTGGAGTTCAGGCCATGAGAAATATGTCTAAAGCGGACCAGTGTGGATGCCACTTTGTCTACCAGGCAACCAAGGGCTGTGCCACTGGCTAGCTGGGGCCAGGCTCACAAAGCAGCCTTACGGCTCTGGGGTCCAGCCTCGACGACCAGGCTATTACATAGTCTCAGACATTCTGATGTGGCATATTACTCCAGCTGCCAAGCCTAGCAATAAGCTCATAACCCTCATAAATTTTTTCTTCTTTCTAGTATCACAATTTTGAGACAAATGACACTTTCCACAAATAACTGAGGAGACCTCCAAGAAGTATTTCCTTCCTGACCATTTCTCCACCTCATATCATACCCACTGCCAGAAGATAAAGGAGAAATCATCTACTTTATGCGCCGTTATTTAACAAAAGCCAACAAAGAGAAGACTTCATTCAGAAAGATTTTCATTTTCTATTAAGCTCCAGAGGTTCAAAGAAATGTTCAGGGAAAAGGGCAAATTGTCATAAGCTCCAGTATGATTCTGGAACAATATTATGGGCTATTTTAAACAACTAAGGTATATTAATATAATGCAAATAGTAGTGATTTGATACTTCTGGAGTTTCAAATCTCTCCTTTGACCTAAGGAACTACAAGCAGGAAAGAAGAGCAGCCTCCAGGCTCTGTCCTGGATTTCCCAGTGTGGTCAGAATATGCCCATGTGAGGAAGAATGCATTGCACTGCATATGTGAGATCTAGGAGTTGGTCAGACTGCTGCAATGTGCGTACTCCCCCGACCCTCCACTAGGATCAAGCTGAGGAGTAAGTGGTGGGTCAACCAGTGCTCTCTGCCCAGCTCTGGTCACTCCCTGTCTGGAAGGGGTACACAAAAGGCATGCACTGTACCCAGCTGCTCAGGTTGCATGGGAAACCTTAGCTCATCAATTTCGAAACAGACAAACCCTTTCTGAGAATGACACATCCAATAGCAGAGGCTACCGATACTCTTTTTGCACTTTATGTTCTTCCTAACAAGCTCACCAACCTCTCCACTGTGACTCCAACCTCTCTCCTGAGATCTGGATTTCCAGATGCCCTTCTACTCAGCTCCTACATCTAACCCACCAAGGGATCAAGTCTATTTCCTGCTTCTCAACACAGAGTGTTCCTCTGTTCTCACTGTCCCAAGCTTCAGTCACTCTCATCAATTCTTCTAGGGACTACGTGTGTCCCTGAAGGGCCCCATGAAGAGTTATTCACCCCACTCATCCATCCTGCACTGCACTCAAGTCAGCTATTAAACACCAGCATGTAGCTCCCACTTAAAAAACATCATGTTTCCTAATCGCTTATGGAAGAACACTAAGCTCCTCAGTACGACAGCCACCCCTACCAACTTCTCTGTCCCAACACATCCTCTGCCACATCTTACCATACCTAGCCCACCTGTGCTCTGCACTATTGCCCCTCATTCCAGACAAATCCTCACCGCCGTTCTGTTACAAGAAATGGCTTTCCCTCTGCACAGGACATTCTGCCACTTCTTCTCTACCCTACAACTCCTATTAATCCTTCAAGGCTAGCCCTGTTACTCTTTTGGGAAGCTCTCGCCTGTCGCTCCAGTTACAAGCAATACTGTCTCAGCTGTAGTACGTTCCGTGTTCCTCTGCCCTAAACAGTAAATGTAACAGCAGTGATCTTTCAGACATGGTTTCCCCAGAGACAATGCTGAAATTCTGGGGGGCAGGGGCTGTATCTTCATTTGTGAAACTAGTACCAGGCTGCACAGAGTACATATTCAGTAATCCATCAGCCATCCACCAGACACAGTCAAAGGCTGTAAGAGGAATTACGGCAAGAGAGTGAAGAGATGTCGACGGCCAGGATACTGGACTCTAGCCCCAGCTGCCTCTGAGTTGTGTGCTCTGAATATTTACTAATCTCTTTAGGCTTTAGTTTCCCATCTATGAATCATGGGGTGGGGCTGTGTGAATCACACAGTCTCTTTAACTCCCCTGTTCTAGCAGTCTGACTATTTTCCTTTAAAATCTACAGCGAAGAAAGATCGTAAAACCCCTTGCTAGTAAGATCCAGAAACCTGGATGTTTCTCCACAAAGCCTGCCAGGAAAATGCCTTGTAGGTGTCCAGGCAGGGCTTCCAAGGACACCAACAGCACAGGCCCCTTCCCTCCACTCATCTCTCCCCGGTTGCCCTCTACTCTGCTTCACCTGACAAATCATGGCCCCAAAGTGGCTTACTATAAATATAATGCACAAGAAAAAAAAAACCTGATTACCAAAATTTAACATTCCTGGAAAGCAGTGGGTGCTAAAAACATGACTGCTGAATTCTGAAGAGCCAAGATGACCTTCTGTGGCTCGATAATCACCTGGTGACCCCGTACTCTGGGGGCGGCTGGTACCTCAGGACGGCCACTTCTGTTCTCGCAGGCTGAGGGGCAGAGTAAGGCTTCACCATCTCATGGAGCATCCCAGGGTGCTGGTCACTGTAAAAAAGTCCATGATCTTGGTTCTTGCTGACGGGGGACATCATTTGTTTGGTCTTAAAGGGGTACTCAGGGGGAGGACCTCGGGGGTCCAGGGCTTTCCCAGCAGGCTGAGCTGGCGAGGGTCCCCCTCCTGCTTTGAACCCCTTTCCATTCCCTGAGCCAGGGAGGTGCTGCTTGACACCGTTCCTCTCCAATGACAGCTGCATGATCCTTTCACTGAGGGAGCGGACATGGCCCTGCTTCAGTTCCTTCAGCGCCTCGTCCTTATGCGCCTGCCCACTGTTGGCACGGCTCACCGTGGGTCTCCCCTCTGTGCGAGACTTCTGACTGGTGCCCCCAGCCATGTAGTAGCCATGGCCTGTGGGACCCTGCTGCTGCTGCTGCTGCTGCCCCCTGAAAAACTGTGACTGGGCCTTGGCCTCCTCGTAAGTGGGCAGCTCCTCACTGTTCTGCTGTGGCTGTGTGGAGCGGACCTGCTTCTCCATCACCGTGCTGTCCACCTGGTGTTCCTGACCCTGCGGTTCCTGGCGTGCTGACTGGTAGACCATTTGTGGGTCTTCTTGAGTAAGGTTTTCCGTGGAAGAAAAGCTGTTCGTAGGGTGGGCTGGTCCTGCACTCCCTGTGGCCTGGTGCTGAATGGCCAGCAAGTTCATGTTCTCGGTTGGGGTGCCATACCGCAGCTGTTCCTGGATCAGGCGCTGTAACACTGTTCCAGCTGCCACATCCTCGGAACCTCTCATTTCCACCTCTGAAAGTCTCAGGAAGTTCGGGGAGAGGAAGTTACAAAGAGGATCCTCCACTACAATACAAACATAGGAAAAAGGTATCAGGCTGTTCCTCAGAAGAGACAACCCTGTCAGTATGTGGTAAACAATTAGCATTCCAAGGATAGCAGCATTTTGAGATAAGATTTCAAACACACCAATACCTCTCTCTGCCCTGCAATGTCTCCTAGACCTCACACTGGTAACCCGTCAGAGTTTAAACTCCTGCAGTACCTAGGTACATACAGTTTCCACCTCTAGGCCTTTGTGGCATTCTTCCCTCTTCCTAGAAAGATGCATCTCACTATGTCTCTTGGGAAACTCCATGTTTTAAATAGGTAATAGGTTTCTCCAATGCACTCTACTTCCCATTCCCTCTCCTCTCACTTCTCTGAGACTTTTCCATCCTTCATCCCTCCTCTTTCCTTTATCCTCTCCAACTGCCTTTTTTTCCCATCACATAAGCATACCCACAGCTTTCTCCTAACAAAAAACTCAAACCAAAATCAAATACAAAGACCTCTTGCTGTCACCCTATAATCTCCTACCCTCCTCCCCTTTTCTAGTCATCTTCAGTAAGCAACATATGCTGTTTCTGCACTCCAAATCTTCCATCCACTGCCCTGATCAGTTACCAAATCCAACAGAAGAGTTTTCCAACTCATACTGTACATCTAACCTTTCTGAAGCATTCAACATGATTGATCACCCTCTTCTTGAAATGCTCTCCTAATTCAGTGTCCAAGTCACTCTGTACCCATCTTCTCTGGCTCCCTTTTGCCCCTCAAATTCTGTTTTTCCCCAGCTTTGTCCTGAGTGTTCTTCTACCTTCACTCAACAGAATCTTCACTCTTGCTTCAGCTCAGGTCTTGAAACCCACGTCTGCAAGGAGCTCCAAAGGTGTTCTACTTTAACACAGCTTCCTTTCCCCCAGTGCTTACGTAGTCCAACCCCTGAGCTCCATCTCAGCTACTTTTTCTCAAGTCAGAAACACAGGAGTTTGCCAAATTCCTTCCTTTCCTTCTCTGCAACACCCAGTTAGTTACCACCTGTTAATTCTATCTCTTAAATATCACTGCCAACCCTCTTCTGTATTCCCATGTCAACCTTAAAGTATTATTATTCATAATCATCATATAATCACAAGAACTATTTTGACGTATACATGATGTGTTGCTAGGTATTGCACTAAACTCTTTCCATATGTTATCTCATTCACTCTCCATACAGTCCTATAAAGAGATATTAATTCCCCTCCCTTATAGTTGATGAGAGGCTCCAAGAAGGTAAATCAAACGAGCCACAGAGGTAGGAACTCTAAGTCTGTGTTCGTTCCAAGTAGTACAAGCTGTGGCACCTCATACTCCAACCACACCGACAGTGTCCTTATCTATGCCCCTGACTCTAGTCTCATCCTCACTTCCAAACCCACCACTTAGACCCATCCTATCTCCCACACTACTTTGACAAACTGTTCCTACAGGAAAATATGACCATGTCACTTATCTGCACAAAATTCAGCAATTATCAATTACAGGGTAATGGTGACATTCCGTCAAACACTGCAGCAGACACTCTCTACCTATCCAACAACACTGCATGTCACCCCTGCCTCACACTGGTAACCCATCAGTTTAAACTCCTGCAGTACCTAGGAACACACAGTTTCCACCTCTAGGCCTTTGTGGCGTTCTTCCCTCTTCCTAGAAAAATGCACCTCACTGTGTCTCTTGGGAAAGTCCATGCTTTAAATAGGGTAACTCCAAAGGCACCTGCTTTGCTACAATGCAGCAAGCAGGTTAGAGTCCTCCTTCTCCAGTATCTTCAGCCCATTTGTACATATTGCCATTAGAGCAATAACCACAGTAGATGGCACTTATTTATGTACACAAGACTCTAAAACTCCACAAAGACCAGATCGTGTCTTCTCATCTGTGTGGCCTGGCAGTCAACACAACGCTGGTCTCAAATACTTAACTGGCATGAGAGTACCTACACAAGCCACAAGAAATGTAACACCCAGCCACTTCACAACAGTACTAGTAAACAGTGAATTGAAGGCATTATATAGCACGATGGTGTAAAACTTCCACCTCCACTTACTAGTGGCATGATCTTGCTCTGAGCCTGAGTATCCTCTCCTTGAATAAGGGGAGCTGAATAACAGCATCTCCAGACAGCCTTAAGTTTTATAGTGCCATTAAATGCTAGCTCTGTGTTTTTTATAGACAGAGAGGACACAGACTTTTCTCCAAAACCACCTTTCTCCCCCAGGTATATCTTTTTTCTAATAAATGACATCCTCATTATATGAGACACACAGAAATTTTGTATTTACTTTTCACCTTTCTTTACCTTTGCTAACCATATTTAATCAGCTCCCAAACTAACTGTTGTTCAGGCCACAGTGAAATAAAAAAGTAAAAAATAAAAATAAAGGCATGATTGATCACAAGCTATGTGCATATGACTTGCATATACACATTAACACACATATATGTGTTCATGTAGACACTTGTGATGAGGGTTACAACTGTCTTTTTTGGCAAAGGTTATTAAGGACTATATTCCTCTTCTTTAGTTTTAAAATATGAGAAAACATGACATTAAGTGACATTTTTAGAGTCTTTCTAAGAGCAAAAGGCAGAAACTCTCTGTTGGTCTTCTAATTTTCATTAAGAAATTTCCCATAGAGGCTGGGGATTTAGCTCAGCAGCACAGCGCCTGCTTGGCAAATGCAAGGTCATAAGTTCGATTCCCAGTACTGGAAAAAAAAAAAAAAAGAAGAAATTTCCCATATATGATAGAAGCAAGCCCTTACTTCTACTCCTGCGTGCTCTCCTGTCCACCTATTCTTCCATGCCCTTGGCCTTGCCTCAGTGTGACTCCTTAACAAATGCTGAGACGTCCTGAACAGCTCTTAAAACCTTTTGCCTCAGGCCTCTTCTCCTTCCCAGTCACACTGTATTTATTACTTATCTTTCTCTTCTGGAACTCAAGCTTCAGAAGCGGAGAGCACTGTGTGTCATATCTGGGCATCGTGCCCCCAATACCTAGAGCACTAACCTATAACCAGAGGCATCTGCCCAAGAAAATTCCAGCATTGTACAGGCTGGATCCTGAAATATACTTGGGTCACACGGCTCTCCCAGTCGCTCGCCAGAAACACTTATCTCTGTGACCTCAGTCAAATATTGGGCTACTCTGAGCCTCTCTCTTCTGAAATGGAGAGACTAAATACCTGCCTCATCGCAGTGTCCATGAAGTCAAACCCTCCATACCTTTGGAGAATGTACCAGTGAGATGTAAACTCAAAGTTCAGCACTAAAAACAGATCATCAAAAGGCCGCATGGGACGAATTACCAATAAATGTAAGGAACAATAAACAACCCAAAGAAAGAGATGAGTGTGCACTGGACTGATCCACTCATTCACTCAAGAAAGATGGACTGAAGCTTGCTATATTGTAAATGCATTGATAGTTGCTAGTCATGATGCTAAAGAGGACAGAATGGATCTGCAGGGCTTCATGGAATGAGCACATTTAAATAAGAATAAAAATTACTAGAATAAAGATTTTATTAAAAATAATATAATTTTAATGGGAAATTATTTATTTGGATGAACAATAAAAGGAATGGATCTCAACAAGCATGAAAACTACTGAATTTCTTTTTAATTGAAGTAAGAGAAAAATGAACTAGTACACTTTGGCAAGAGTCATAAGTGATTTTAAAGAATTTCCTCATAGTTTTACCAATCTCAAAAGCCCTTAAAAAACCCAAGCATGGTGGTGCATGTCTGTAATCTAAGCAGGAGGCTAAGGCAGGAGGACAACAAGTTTAAGCCCAGCCTGGGCAACTTAATGAGACTCTGTCTCAAAATAAAAAAATTTTAAACAGGGCTAGACATGAAGCTCAGTGTGAAGGCCCTGAGTTCAGTCTCCAGTACCCCTTGGCAAAAAAGGCCTTCAAAAATAGAAAGTTTTTACATAAGAGGTCACTCCTTCCCTGTTACAGTTTTGAGTTATTTCTTCTGTACTTGTGAATCATTTGCAAAAAGAAATAAAAATGAAAGCAGAAAAAGAAAACAGAAATAAAAGATTCTGAGAAAGGGTAAAAAATATTTTTAAATTAGAGAAAAATTAGGGACTAAATGATGTGATTCTGAAGCTCCTACATGGATATGACTCTTGCAAAGGGAGCCACATATTAGGGTGAAATAGTCTGTTATGATTTGTGTCTAGATGTCCCCCCTAATCCTTATGCAGTCATGGGGCAGGCTTCTAGAGTTTTTGATTAATTCATGGTCCAATGCTGGATTATGGGTATGGGTGCTACACCCAATCTGGGGCAGGCAGTTTGCATACAGTATAAGGGAGGGAAAGAGCCTGCTCTCTGCTCTGGTCCCTTTTGCTTTTGCTGCTTTTGCTGTTTTCAGCTGCCACGAACTGTTGCCCTCTGCCATGTGTCACTCTGCCTTAGAGCCAGCCAAGTATGGACTGAAATCTCTACAAACTGTGAGCTAAATAAATCTTTCCTTCCTTAATTCTGGGCATCAGGTATTTTGTCTCAGCAATGAGAGAAAAGTAACCAATACATAACCTTAGTAATATCATACCATAACATGAATACAAATAGGGCACCTACAAATAGGGCACCTACCAGGAAGGAGATAATCCATAATCCAGTATGCTGACTGTTAAAATAAGGATAGAGAATAAAAAAAAATTTGAATTACAATAGCCCCTTTACCTCAGGGGACCTGTTCCAAAAACTCTAGTAGATGTCTGAAACCAAGGATAGTATCAAAGCCTGCACATGCTATGCTATGTTTTTTCTACATACCTATAATAATGTTTAATTTATAAATTAAGCACACTAAGAAATTAATAGTAGCTAATAAGTAAAACAATTATAACAATATATGGCAATAATGTTATTTAAGTTTGTGAACTATTTATTCCTGGTAGTTTTCATTATATTTCCAACCACAATTGACCTCAAGTAACAAACTGTGGAAGCAAAGCTCTCACAAATAAAGGGGGAGCTAAAAATGAGAAACGTAAGGTCATTTTGTTGTGCCAATAACAAAACTTACCAACTTTCTCCCTGAGGTTACTGTTTGCCTCCACAGTCAAAGCAGAGGCTTCATGCCTCCCAGAATAGAACTGAAGGTCCGGGAAAAAACAGTGGGGGTCTTCTACAATCTGGATGGGACTGCCAGGGTCGTGACAAACAGGAGGCGGAGCTGGCAGAAAGAAAGTAATGTGTATGTTAGTGCCAATCCAGTGCCCCCGCCTTCCTGTGTGACTCAGGAAAGCCCATGAAGCATTCTCCCACATTTCAACTCGGGGTGGCAGCTCTTGTCCTTTTGATTCATAAAATTCCAACGTTACTATTCCGAATTATCACAAGCCCCCAGCCTCCCACCAAAATGACCCGTGGGGTCAATCTAAGACATGATGAACAAAGGCATGAATGCTTTCACACAGCCGACTTTCAACAACGAAAGTCCAGTCCCTGTGAAAATTAACAAGTCACAAATTCCAAAATGGAAAAGGTGAGGGAGACAGGGAGGGGGGCAGCAAAGGAAAACTGAAATGAGAAGAGAGCTGGTTCTCAAAATCTATAAAAGATACAGTAAGGAATGGTCACTTGGCTGGACCATGTATCACCAAAGAATTCCCAGCACAGGACAGGGCACTCAGCTCACTGGGAAGTTTCCGAAGTCTCATGCTGCAGCGTGGAGCTGGAGTTCTGGATTTGGGGCCTCTGCCGAGCACCAGCCTTTCGCCTCAGTTTATCTGCTTCACATACAAACCAGAGTGTGCCTCCTCTTCCAGTTAAACTTGACACAGCCCATACGGCCACTGAACACAAGATACCACTTCAGGAACACCGACTCCACAACGCCATCCGTGGGAACTTACAGCAGCCTGGGTCCAGCCTGTCTTCCTGCTCTGCTCAGACTTCTCTGCGTGGGCACAAAGTTTCGGGCTCTTTTTGGCAAAAGTAACTTCATTTACTCTGGCAAGTCATACTTTTTCTTAATGAAAATTCTTTTCCCAAAGATAATTCTATTACAAGAAAAGTATAGTTTTTCAGCAATTGTTCCAAATTGCTCATCAGAAATTTCTTCCCAGGCTTATCTATCCTTTTCCCACAAGGCCGAAGCTACTAGTAAGTAGACTAATTGTACCAAGGGCTGTACGATGGGAATGTACTTGACTTCTTTGTATTTACATGTATGCTCAGCTGTATCACAGATATGTCTGCTCTAAGGAGAAAAAAAGATTGTGACAACTAGAATATTTATCTTACAAATTGTAGATAATGTAGTTGTGATTCTCACATTAAAGATGAATACAAACCAAGTGTGAATGGCATACTGGATGCAGACCAGTTTAAAACTAGTGCTCCAATGCGTAAGAGACTATTTGTCAGCGTTCTCTTTTTCAGCCAACCTCTCACCCTTTTATGGGCCTCATTCTCCACATCCATATATCTGAAAGTCTACGGCTAAAATTAGAAACTGTGGATGGCCTACAGCCAAAGTCAAATTCTGACCTGGCTTCTACTTTCACACAGTTGCCAAACTTGGAAGGGACAAGGTGCAATATTGGCTGCACATTAAAATCATCTGGGAAGTGTTTCAAGTCCCAGAACCCAGGCCTCAGTCAGAATTTCTGGAAGCAGGGCCCAGGCACCTGCATTTTATCAAGCTCTTCAAATGACTCTTATGTATAACCAAAGCCAGAAGCCACGCACAGGGAGGAAAAGAAAAAATCACAAAACACCTTTCTGTACTTTCATTTCCTCCCCTTTTACCAAGTCAGACCAAGAAAGGAGGCAAAAGCTACATGCTTCAGGTATTTTCTTAACAAGTCTGGTTCAGGAATGGCATGTGGCAGCACGCTACAACTTTAGGTGATACTATCTAGTCACCTAAGAATATTACATGATAAGGAGAAAACCAGCAATAAAATTAAGGCATATATGTACATACAAATGTATTGACACATAAAGGAGAACATGCTTTCAACATGAAACTCAAAATGGACCCCCGCACTAAGTCATTCAGTCACTACAACACTGGTGCAAATTACTTTAATGCACCTTATCCCATGGCCTTCCAACTGACAGGAGGTTCAAGAGCTCCAGGCCACACACCACACAGAGGGCAGTTGCTGAAGAAGCCAGTGCACAGAGGACACCAGAGACAGCCATCTTTAACCATTTTCCTCAATGTTATGAAAGAACTAATGCACCTCACACATACATACACACACATGCTCATGTGTCCACTCACACATCCACCCAGTTGAGGGCACAGGATCCAGTGATATGTCAACAATCAGTTAAGACCTTTCCTGCACACACTTGGGGACCCCCACGTTCACCACTGTAATTCCCACTGCAACACCACTTCTAGGTGTTGAAGAAAGGCAGGAGAGCTATACCGATAATGAGAACAGACACTGCAAGCAGACAGGCCTGGTTTTCCTCCATTCCCCCAAAGCCAAGATCCCAGGTGGGCTCTCCCAGCACTGACACAGCCTAAAGCAACCAGACTTCTCACGTTCTCACTTGCAGGACAAGGAAAAGTGGCAGTAATGTTTGTCACAGTGCACTGGATTCCTAAGCCACATAGTAAAAACCAAAAAGAGGCCCTGTTCTATTCCTTGCCTGACACACCTAATCTTTCCCTGCCTGCTCTACTTCGTTGTCTTCCCTGACAACTGTAGTACCAACTGAGTCTATTTTCTTTAGCAAACTTCAGGGTATGTAATCTAAAGAACACCGTCAAAGATCCCTGAAATGAGAAATTGCCAGTAGACAGACAGAGAGCATCAGGGGGAATGCTGTTTTCTTTGTTGGCAGTTCATAACTGAGAGAGCTCTGAAAAACCCCAGAAGGCCCAGACACTACTACCACCCAGAAGGCTCCTGCAAGGCCTGGCTTGGACCCAAGGACGCCACCACACTGCCTATTTGGGGGCCCACGGCCGCCTGAGGGTTCTGCTGACTCGACAGTGTGTAATAGGCACAATGCCCTTGCTGCAAGGCCTTCACAGGGCCTCTTTCCATACAAGACCCTCTCGCTGTAGCAGGCACCTTATAGTTTACCTACTTCTTCAAGCCAGCCCCTTGTCTGAAGGTTACCACTACCAACTCTCTAGTGTACAGGGGAAGTAGCAAAGCACTGGAAACAAAGCTAAGGCCAGCGTGGAAGAGCCAGCTCTCTGGGGAGGAGGCTCTGCTGGGAGGGGGTACATGTACATGCAGTTCCAGGGCCTCTTCCTGGAAAGAAAGCAGAGATCTGTTTTTTCTGCAGTCAACAAAAGGAACTCAGAAATCTACTTTGGGGAGTCAACATTTCTGCCTTAGATTGACTGCAAATCATTTCACATAATGGGCTCCTCTTCCTTTTACGGAATCCGGTCATTTGTCATTATGGAGAATCCTGCTCCTCTCTTTCTGAGCACGACTGCTTCTGGCTTGCCTCAGAGGCACCTTTTTGTGACTGTTCAGAGACTTGCAGGTCATGTGACTTGAACAAGACTTTTTTTTTTTTTAATCCATAGTTGCAATAATAAAGGGCTTTATTGTTGAAGGAAAATGAATTGAAGGTAAAATGAAGTAAGTTTTCTGGGGAAGGTATGGGGCATGACAAAGGACCCGGTGAACTGCTCCTCTGCTTCACCTCCTCTAACTCCTAGGGAGCAGATCCTGCACCTGTCACCAGCCAACAGCCCAGGCTAGAAATCTCCTGTGGGTTCAAACCTCAGAGGTCATTAAGTGGTGATAACACTATCATCTCTCTCACATAGACAGTGGGGAATCCCCTATCCTCACACACCCCTCCCTTGCATATAACCATTTGATCTATGAGGTCAAGGTCAGAATTTAGTGTTCAGAGCTGCCGGTAATCAGCCCCTCCTTTAGCTGTCAATGGTCTTGCCGGTCCCCTCGGTATTCCAGCAACCTCTGAACATGTCATCATTCTCTGAGTGCCACCCCCTAACTTCACACCCCGCCAATAACAACTACTTTAAAGTTCATCCAATGAAGTTACCCCTTCAGTACCTCCTCAGGAATGTCTTCCTCTGCCCCAAACACCATTGCAATTAAGTTCTGAGGCACACAAAACTCAGCACTTCAATACCAATTGCTACGGTAGTATTTCACAGTAGTCATTTAATCTAAGGTACTGTCATTTAATCTTCCCTGGTCAAGTTACATGGACTTTGAAGACAAGCACTATACCATGTGCTCGATTATTTCTGAAATTAGAATATACATATATTCTCTGCCTACTTGCTGACCAGTACAGAAAATAAGGCATTACTCTCTGAATAGTCTCACTACCATGCCAGGCTCTGAGAGTTTCAGTAATTCCTTGCACTTTTTTGTTCCCTAAAACACAAGGGTCCTTACTCTCTCCTTTGCTGTAAATACCGGTGCTTTGAGGTCCACAGGCTGGTGGCCTATTCCTCAAAGACACCACTAACTGCAAAGCAAATCCCAGGTGTCACCAAAAGGTGGAGATTTCTGCCAGCTACATGTAATCCAAAACCTCCCAATGTATTTAAAAACAATGTCACTGTCTAGAATAGAATAACATCCGCTATCTTTATAACAGAGATTTTAACCACAGCAACAAACAATTCTGTGACTTCTACCTTTTTTTTCTAAAGGCTAAGGAATTTGCTGAATGTGCCAGTGGCCTCAACATTAAATAAAAGTAACCAGTCCCTCTGATTCTGGCAGAACTTGAAGTTTTTCCAAGGAGTGGAATGCCCTTTTTAGAGAAGCAGATGCCCTGAAAAAAATGTTTAGAAGAGACCTGAAGAACGTAAGACAGGTACCTGAAAAATAAGGGCTGTTTTGAAGCCTTCTATGAGGTTCATTATTCTGGGTGAGCAAGTGACAATCCAGGTATCTGAGACCCAACAGTGCCAAGAAATGATACCCTCTTCTACAAACACTTGCACAAAAGCCACACACTTATAAAAAAGCCAACAGGAATCTCACCATTAAACCAAAAGCACACACAGGAGTAAGTTTTCTCCGTCTCTATCCCCTTAGGAATTATTATTTAAAACGGAAGACTTGAGGTGGTGAATAGAGGATGAGGTTTCCAAGATTCCCAATTCTTATATCATATGGTCTTCCAAATGGTTATCAAAATTTAATTCTAAGCCCTGGATCAATCCATCTATCCTAGAAGACAAATGAAATCAGTACA